TTTACTTTTACTGCATTATATTAGATAAGACTTAGTCAATTAGTTGTTAGCCATCTATTCCTATTATTTAGGAGTAAGTTAGTGAGTTAGGAATATGCTAGTAGTGGGTTTACTGCTTTCTGTTTTTCATTCCAGTCTTATAAATGAAATCTGAAGACATCAATAAAAATGTTCTTCTACCAATATTCTTCTTGACTTCTCTGCTTTCTAAAACTCATACTACTAAAATTTACCAACAGAAACAAAGCAAGTAAAAGAGTTAAACAAGAGAAGAAGAGGACAAAGGCTTATCACTTGAACAAGAGAAACGGAGGCTCTCATGTAGAGAGAGTTGAGCTCGTAGGTTAAAGTTATTAAGAGCTTTAATTGTCAATTAATTTCATCCTTGTGTCTATCTTTTATCCTTTAGTTCTGGTTCTTAGTTTAGGATTTCATTTCCATATCCATACTGTATCAAATTCTAAGATAGAGTAATCATTTAGTTGATAGGTGGGTGATAGATGAGTATGTATCAGAATTTATTGTTGGCTTGGACAAAGCGCTAGTAGTGTCAACCTTTATAATTCCGGTGACAGAAGAACATCAATATAGCATCAGAAACTCTCGATGCCTACCCCCTATCACATGGAATTATCAATAGAAATATGATGAACCTTAAGTTTATTTTAAATTCTTTAAAATAGCTTTGAGGCAATGTTGAATTCTTTGCAAGTCCTGATCAATTGCTCGTCTAGGTCTGGGAAAGATATCAAAACTTGCCCACCAAAGTGCCATCAACAGTCGACTAAATTTTTTTCATTAACATTTAGATCACACGGGAAGATTAAACGCACAAGCATACATATTCTGCAAAAGTTCATCCAATTGATTGAAATAGAGCATCTGGCTTGAAGTCATACCTCCAACCAAAAGGTCCAGTTTTTATCGCCTGCACCACTTAATCTACATATATATGATGGCGGACCATTACCAGTCTTCTCAGGAACTGTATAACAAGTCTGGGATTATTAACAATGCTGCAGTAGGAAAAGGCCCATACTCAAAGCTATGAAAACATAGACTACCTGGAAGAATGTTATCTGCAAATGACCAGCTGGATAGCGAACCAGTAATATTGAGGACTGCAACCCACACTTCCTTCAAGGAACTGAAAGCAGACAAGAGAGAAATATGAAGAAGCTTTGATTTAAAGGGACAGAGAAGTTACCTATAACTCAATAGTATAGGAAACCTTATCATAGCTAAATTACAAAAAAATAATTTGAACTTCATCATGTTTATAGTCCAATCCATTTCTGGCATTAATTTCAAGCAGTGAAGATTGAAATTGCCTGTTCACAATATTTCCAGAATCAAAACAAGTTAAAATCAATTTTTGTGGTTCTACAATGCTATCTATCTATTAAACCTTCAAATGCAGACAAAATAGTGAGAATCGTATCCAGCAATAAATAACAGCATTGTCTTGGCATGAACTCCCCATTTCAGAGGGAATTTTCTGTAATCAGATTACTAAAATCTGATACAGCTTGCAAATAATCTACATCAGAACATGATTTGATCATTCGGGGCACCATAATATCACATAAGTGTCATTACAGATAATGGCAACCTGTATTCATTAACTTAAACAGGTTAAATAAGTGTCTGGGCCCTCAGAGGTTAGAGCCATGTTCGCCTTTGATACATTATAAATATATTCTATTCATAACTAAGGACCATGGATCCATGAACTCATTCTCAAGAGTTTTTTTTAATCTTTTTATTTTTGAAAGTGGTATTCTTGAGATCAACTTATGAAAATGCCACAATCAAATAAGGTTAACTTAAAAATTCATCTTTTACGCAGTTCTGCTCTATTTTTTGTGTCAATTCCATGCAACAAAGATAGAAAAGTTTGTGTGTACAACAATATTTGCAGAGTCCAAAATAAGGTAAAATTTCAGTTCTATGACCCCACAGTGTTAATATTCTATTAAACTTTAATATTTATCAAAATGATGGGCAACAACCATATCTAGCAACAAGTAGCAAACATCATCATGCCATGAACTGCATATTTCAGAGGATCTTTCTTAAATCTGACTACTAAAAAGTTTTGATACATCCAGCACATCATTTATATCTACACCAGAACATGAAGAACATTCAGGGCACCACGAGATAACATAAAGTGACATCACATAAAAAGTTGGTAACCTCTACGAAAATGGATCTCCACTTATTTAAACGTTATTAAATGAGTGTGGATCCCTTTTACTTGGGCCATATTTCATATTTGACACATTAAAAAATACATTCTTTTTAACCCAGGGTGAGGACTCCTGAACTCATTTATAAGATTCACTTTGGAAACTGTCGTATGAAGTAAAGACAGTTATTGTACTTATCCAAATTACCCGAGGGAGAACTCCAAGTAGATCCTATGGGAACCCCCACTCAAATTCTCTTGTGGCTTATTAGTCGTTAGATGTGGGAAATGATTGTATTCAACCGAAACATCTGATCCTTTTGCAGGAAACTTCATGCATCTTGAAAACAGCGAAGATATTGGAAAGATCCCCTACAAAAAGGAGAAGATTATGTCACATTCCATGACAATCTCATGAAGCAAAAATTATTATTTGAATTTCCAGTCAGATAAAAATTACTAATATATCATAGTGCCACTATCAATACAACAGCAAATCTTTAGGAAAAGTTGCACGATACTCTGTTGTAACCTAGTTTACTCCTCCATCAGATCCAAGAACATCTTCCATAAAAAAGGACACATCATATGATAATAGCTCTTGAGTCTTGAATAAACAAGATCTTAAAACCACCAGGTAGAGGATTCAGGATGAGAGCAGTTCTGCCTACTCCAACTCTCTTTTTTTAAATACTGAAATAAGGAAGCGCTGCAAAAACTGTACAACAGAAATACTGCCGCCTAAGCATGTTACTACTAATGGGAAGCAAGGACTGGATACAAGCTGTAAAATATATAGGACCACATCTAACCACTTCAAGATCTTTGTAAAAGACAACAGGCCTATGTTCTGTTCCTTCTTTATAAAAAAGCACACAAATATCATATGAAAATATGATAGGCTAGTCATGGCGAAAGCTTCAAAGTAACTACCATCCACTCCTCTTGATGAGACTGCTTGACAGCATCAAAGGATAATTCTGTATTAATGTGCAGTGTGTTGGCCACTTCAGGGGCATGCTTGAAAACGAAAGGCAGAGTGTTGGAGTCAACAACGGCAAAATCATAGGTAGTTTCCATAATTTTACTGGCACCTGTAAAGTCAGTATTAACGTATTAATAAGAAACAGCAGAATTTATCTGGAAGGGCATGCAAGCCACAGATAAACTCCAAAAACTAAGTTGCATACTTGTACTATTGGATTCTATCCTTGCACTATGTTTGGTTGGAATTAATAGAGGAAAGGAAGTAAAAGAGGGGGTTACACCTTCCAAGCAGCTTTTTAAGCCCTCCGAAATATGAAAAAATCTAAAAGCAGAAACTGTATCTTATTCTGTTCCAATCAAATCAGACAACTGTGATAGATGATCACTATTATACCCGAGAGACATAAACCAATGAGCTGCTTCCCCTTCATGGAACCAAAGATGAAGTCATATAAATTAAGTACGACATGATATGATAAGGCATATCTTGACATCTTCTGCCCGTTTAGTTCAATAACTCCAGAAAGGAGAGAGCTATACGTCAAAAGGGGATCCATAGCATCTAAGAAACAACCAAAAACTGAAAGATACACTTGAATTGAAATGTAAGCAATAATTTACTTTTTTAATCTCTTCCCTTCTTTTTCCTTATTTTTCTTCCGTTATATCAAGGAAAATGAATTGATACTTCTTTGTTACCTGCATTTCGGATGGTATGCTGGAATATAACTCTTTTAGGTGCATCGGTACTGTACGGAAAGAATTGTGATGAAAGAGCCAAAGCGAGAATGCTGCTGTGTAGCAAAAAATGCAGTATAGATGACCTGGCTAACCAGTGGCTCACAACAGGCAAAATAGGTCCAACAGACCAACTAGTCCCCAGTCCAATAATTGCTGCCACTATAACATCAGGAATGAAGTACCCTACAAGGAAAACAAGATACCAACTTATCAAATTGTTAATACATAAATGCTGCAATGCAAGAGCAATTTTATCACATAACAAGGTTTTCACATAAAGGAAATGTAATATAACAACCCCACATTTTAAGTATTTGCATCCCATTCCATAGTTTGAGACTTCCCATAGGTTCATATACTGTATTGGGACTTGTAAGGTTGGGTTGGGACTAGAGGAGTTCGGGTGAGTTTTGGACAAGAAAACTACATTATTGTTTTCTTGTTGTTGATGCAGAGCATTGCGGTAGGTAGTCTCAGGGCCACGATCGCGAAGGGTGAATCCTTTTTTATATGCGATCGTGTGCACTTGTATTGGTGTCCGCACAGGGACCTCACTGGATCATTTTAAAAGTAGGATGCTTGAGATATCCATCATACCTAGGACACAAGACGCATACCAGCTCAAGGGGAGCCTTCAAGTGACCCCGGAATGTCTAGACGATTGGCTGGTAAGTTGAATTATCTCCCATTGACTCGACTTAATATTTCTTTTCAATAAGCATTGTAAGTCAATTTCTGAACTCTCAATTTGATACATATTGGGATGTATTAGTCTGTATTCTGAGTTAAATGGGTGATGCCTAGCACAACAAAGGAACTACTAAATAGCTGGAAAGGTATTGGGAACAAAGGAAGAAATGAACACTGGTGGAGAACTATCCCTGCTTGCATATGGTGGACCCTCTAGAAAGAAAGAAATTTAAGAAGTTTTGAGGAACAAAAGACTAATTTACAGAAGATTAGAATGAATTGTATAAGCCTTTTGTTTTTTTGGTGTAAACAAAATCTTGTAGGGGATATAATAGATTTAGCTGATTTTATAGGAAACTTGTAAAGTATACCCATGGGTGGGATGTAAGTTTCCAATTCATCATTTTTTGGATGATGAATTTTTTGGTGTGAATACAAAGTTACCCTTGTCTCAAAAAAAAAAAAATCTGCTCTATGGAAAGGTTTTCTCTTTGACAATACAGGACATTAGCACATTGTTGGCTATACGGATGCAGATTGGGCAAAGTCATCTTCAGATAGATGTTCTACCTCTGGATATTGTGTTTTAGTTGGAGGTACCTTGGTGTTTTCATAAAGGTAAAGAAGCAAAATGTGATTGCTAGGGCTACGGTGGAAGCAGAATATCAAACCATGACAGTGGCAATTTGCGAACTTACATGGATCATGCAACTACTCAAAGAATTGAAGTTTGGAGAAACCGGTCACATGGAACTTAGTGTGATAATCAAGCACCACTCTATATTGCATCAAATTCAGTACACTTTAGGAATGGAATAAACACAGAAAAATCGATTTTTTCAGTGAGAAGATACTCAACGCAAACATTGTCACAAAGTTCATCAAGTCCAATGATCAACTTGCAGATATGTTTAGCAACTCTCTTGATAATCTCAGATCAATTACATCTGTAGCAAGCTTGGTACATACAATTTGTATCCACCTACTTGAGGGAGAGTGTTAAGAATATAGTGTTTTATAATTGTAGAATCATTAGAAATAGTTAGAGAGATTCTTATGTAATTTTGTTTTGCTTTGAGGGAATGATGAGCTGAGTTTTCTTTTCAATTTCTTTTTTGTGTATTTCTCACAAATTGTATAGACAAGGAATCAACGTCCATTCTCCCCTACCCACATCCCTTTTGAATCACTTTTTTGGTAGTTTTACAAGAAGACATACACTTGCTTCTAATTTGTAATAGCTTCTGATAATGTAGGCGCAGCTACATGAGCCTAAATACTACTCCATTCGTCCCATTTTAAGTGGCACCGTTTGACTTGGCAAGGTACTTAAGAAAAAAAGGAAGACTTTTGAAACTTATGGTATAAACAAACCTTAGATACTTGTGTGGTTGTATCATTTCATTAAGGGTAAAAAGAATTTTTTAAAGAAAAATTGTTTCCAATTATAGTAAGGTGACATTCTTTTTGGGACGGACTAAAAAGGAAAGGATGACACGTAAAATGAGACACGAGGGGGTAATTCTTTTGTTCGTGTTTTCATTCCTAAATTTCGGGCTTCAGCCCTAATTATCTCATTATTATTATTTTATTTTTTTCAAAAGGATGAAAATAGCCCAAGAGAAATGGGATATTTACTTTCTCTCCCACTTCAAATAATGTTTGTCCTCGAAAGTTAAAAGAGCCATAGCCCTAACAAAAAGGGTGTGAACACTTAGCCTTAACATCCACATTGCCTTTCCATACTTACAACTACATATGCACCTCATAGGCTGATTCAAACTAATGAAGCTTGACATTCAGAACAATGGGAGTATTAACAGGCCTATAATTTTTCATCCTTATTTCCTCAAGAATGTCAAGAACATACTTCGGTTTATTACTTTATTTTACGTTGTTTCATATCAGAATCTACTAGTTTCTTCATTATTTGTCATTATTTTCTTGGGTAGTTGGAATGTTTCTATTCTATGCATTTTGTTCCTACGTTATTTGGTAAAAATAAAAGGGCTAAAGTCTTTGGAACACTAAATGGTATTTTATCACATTAGTCAAACATTATTTATTTTTGTTCATTCTTATTGCAACAAGATGTGACGACACTACCCAATGTGCTAAGTTGTTCGGACTCGGATGCAGGTATCTGATGCAGATGCGAATCTGAGGTCTTTTTTTTTTAGTCTGGACCTATGGACTAATCGTTTGACCTTTTACCATTTACGTCAGATTCAGCAAAATCTAAATTTTATGATTTGGGGGTACTGATCCAATGTATGGATACGGGTGTTGGGATTCGGCGAAAAAACTTCAAAATTATAAAATAGAGCTATAAAGATGTAAAGATATGGCACCTGGGCCTAACTCAACCACAAAAGCTAGCTCATGAGAGGAGGATTGCCCAAGTCCATATAAGGAGACCACCAGTCCATTCCCCAACAAATGTGGGACTTTTACCCACTCTAACACCCCCCTTCACGCCCAGGCCCGACTGGAGCGTGGACCGGGAGCCCAAATGGGGATGGACCTGGCTCTGATACCATTTAAAGATATGGCACCTGAGCCTAACTCAACCCGAAAAGCTAGCTCATTAGGGGAGAATTGCCCAAGTCGATATAAGGAGACCACCGGTCCATTCCCCAACCAATGTGGGACTTTTACCCTCTAACAAAAGATATTCTAAATATTGAAAGACCTTCTAAGTCGTCTTTCCCAAGACCCCAACTTCTTCTTTCAAGCTTTCTAGTTCTTCCCCTAAAAAAGAAAAAGAAAGTCACTCAAGGCCTTCCATCAACTCTCCTAATAGATAGTTGTTACTATCTTCCTGAACACAACTGCTTGAATTCTTAGTTTCTCTCCAGTTGGCTTGAAACATGAAGTAACAAATATTAATTGGAAGTAAAAGCTACAATGGAGACAAAAGAAATACTCCCTCTGTCGTATTTTATGTGACACCATTTGACTTGGCATGGTGTTAAAGAAAAAAAGGAAGACTTCTGAAACGTGTAGTCTAAATCAATCCTTAGATATTTTGTGGTTGTAAATCATTTCATTAAGGGTAAAATGGAAATTTTAAAGTTAAATTTTTCTTAGTTATAGTAAGGTGACATTCTTTAGGACACACTAAAAAGGAAAGGGTGTCACAAAATGGAATGGAGGGAGTATTATATTGAAGGTATGTTATTGCCTTGTTCATGGAAGTTTCTCATAATGTCCTATTTCACAATTTCCTGGCACTTGATGTAGAATCCCATGGTAAGCCCATAAGGGTCATGAGCCTTGTCAGTTGCACACATTTTCAAACATCTCAGCACTTCACTCTCTTCAAAGATAGATGCCTTGTAAGGCCTCATTTTCCTCCTCTATTATGATGGGCGATTGAGCGTGTTGATAAGTAGGGCTCCATTGAGCAGTTTCAGTGTCTAGTTTTTTGTAATATTCAAGGATCTCCACTTCGATTTTGTGTGAATCTTGCAGGACTTCCCCCTGTAACATAAGTTGATCTATGTTGTCATATCTTTTGTGTGCATTAGCCATCGTATGGAAAAATTGTCTTTTTGTCCCCTTCCTCTGGCCACAAGGCTCTTGATTTCTATCTCCAAAGGCTTTCTTCCCTCCTGACCACCTCCTAATACTCCAACGTGAATTCAGCCTTCTTTGGTATCTCTTCCTCGGTGAGAATTCTATCTTCCCTTTCTGCATCCATTACTGCTATCTGTTCAGGTAACACTTCCCTCTAGTTGCCTAGATTACCAGTATCACCTTTCCTCCATTCCTTTAGTTTAAATTTTAGAGCTTTGAGTTTGGAAGCCAAAACATGATCAGGTCTTCCAGTGAAGTTGAAAGATTCCCAGTATCCTTGAACTCTAGTAAATCCTGCAATTTCTGGCCACCAATATTCAAACTTGAAATAATTCTTGTTTCTCTCCCATGAGCCACCCAACAAAGCTAATGGAATGTGGTCTGAACTCAGTCTTTCGAAGGGTATTTGTTTTAAATAACTTAAGTTAGCATCCATTCTTCTGAAATCAGGATCCTATCAATCCAGGAAGTTCTTGATCTCATTTGAACCAGGTGTAAGTAACATCCTCCAATTGTTGATCAATTAACCTCATGTCTTCAATGAAATCAGAGAACTCTTTCATGTTAACTTTCTCAAAACAAATTGAGAACTCTTTCATGGATGTATACAATTAACAAGAAATTGTATACATCCATGTTTCCAAAATCTCTCCCTTCCACGCCCTCTCATCCCACATAAAAAGAACCCCTCTCTTGTTCCACTTACATCCAAAGAAGTATGCCTAATCCATCACCCTCCCCAAATATGTTGTGCCACCTCTAGAATATTCCCTTCTATTTTTGTTTCTAGCAGAAAAATATTATCTGCCCTCCACTCCCTTTATCAAACTATACGCCAATCTTCTATTTTTTCTATTGTTTATCCCCCTCACATTCCATGAAACCAATTTGAACTTCATCATTTTGAAGAGCTT